TAGCACAATTCAAATATTGCTTGTCACTGTCTCCAGGTGAAGAAAGACAGTCTGAAAAGGGAGCAGTTTGAAACATGTGCAACCTCTCCATGTAATGGAGTGACCTTGAGTTTTCAGAATCCCCAGCCACACAGGAAGACTCTGCGCAACAGCAGGTTTCTTCTGCAGAGCACCTCTCTTCCCTTAGAGACAGTGATAGGCAGGAGACAGGGCAATAATTGTCTCCTGGATCTCAATTCCAAATTAACCTTTTTCGACTGTCTAAAGGTGGATTGCAAAAATGTTCATTTCTCAGATATGCTATAGTATTACGGCTATGTAAGTGAACTAAATTATATGTTTTTCCGTATACCTCTAAGCATAGAGGTGAGTGTAATTGGTACCCAGCACCAAAAATGAGAAAGTATACATTTAGCTGAACAGTGAATCCTGTAATGCTTTGAGCTATAGACAGAGAATGTCAAAAACTAAACTCATGATCAGTCAAGGAATTGTAAAAAAATTGTTTATTAAACTCATAAACAATAAATAGAAAGAAAATAAAACATCTAAAAATGAGATAGCTAATAAAAAAGCAAAATAAATAAATAAATAAAATCTACATACACAGTGTTCCCATCACTGGGACCATTTGGGAGTGATCACCTATACCATTTAACCTTGTTCAGCCCCATTTCTTTTCCAGAATTGTATGGATTTTTGCATTGAGCTTTGTCCCTTCTCCTTTATCAATAGAAAATTCTCCCCAGATGTCTATAAACAGATCTTTACCAGTTACTCCACTCTTAACTTTAATATTATATATGAATTCATCAGAAGACAGGAGGGCCAGGCGTGCTCTGGTCCATGTGGTCACAAAGAGTCAGACATGACTAAACGACTAAACAACAACAAATGAATTGATCATTAACTGCTATATCCAGACTTCCCTATCTATTGTTGTTGTTAAGTCGTGTCCGACTCTTCGTGACCCCATGGACCAGAGCACGCCAGATCCTCCTGTCTTCCACTGCCTCCCGGAGTTGGATCAAATTCATGTTGGTAGCTTTGGTGACACTGTCCAACCATCTCATCCTCTGTTGTCCCCTTCTCCTCTTGCCTTCACACTTTCCCAACATCAGGGTCTTTTCCAGGAAGGCTTCTCTTCTCATGAGATAGCCAAAGTATTGGAGCCTCAGCTTCAGGATCTGTCCTTCCAGTGAGCACTCGGGGGTGATTTCCTTCAAAATGGATAGGTTTGTTCTCTTTGCAGTCCAGAGGACTCTCAAGAGTCTCCTCCAGTACCACAATTTAAAAGCATCAATTCTTCGGCAGTCAGCCTTCTTTATGGTCCAGCTCTCACTTCCATACATCACTACTGGAAAAACCATAGCTTTGACTATGCAGACCTTTGTGGGCAAGGTGATGCCTCTGCTTTTTAAGATGCTATCTAGGTTTGTTTGTTTGTTTGTTTATTAGATTTGTATCCAACCCATCTTGATTATATCTACTCTGGTTTCTCATCACTTTCCTCCCAAGAAGCAGGCTCTCCTCTTTCACCCTCATTACAAGGTTCTTTAATTCCTCCTCACTTTCTGCCATCAGAGTGGTATCATCTGCATATCGGAGGTTGTTGATATTTCTTCCGGCAATTTTAATTCCAGCTTGGGATACGTCCAGTCCAGCCTTTCGCATGAGGTATTCTGCATATAAGTTAAATAAGCAGGGAGACAATATACAGCCTTGCTGTACTCCTTTCCTAATATTGAACCAATCAATTGTTCCATATCCAGTTCCAACTGTTGCTTCCTGTCCCACATATAGGTTTCTCAGGAGATAGACAAGGTGGTCAGGCACTCCCATTTCTTTAAGAACTTGCCATAGTTTGTTGTGGTCCACACAGTCAAAGGCTTTTGCGTAGTCAATGAATCCCTATCTATACCAATCATTTAACAAAATATTACAATCTGTTTTCCAGTTCCTAGCCATAACCAATCTTGCTGCTGTTAACAGATTGGAAAGTAATGCTTTAGTTTTCAATTACTCTCCTCCTTTTCAAATACTAATAAAAGCACTATTTTAGGACATTAAAATTTTACCAAAATTTCAATATGTTCTCACATTCTCACCACGTATGAAAATAGGTACCTATTTTCTAGCACCCTCTTCAGCACATCTTAGAGTAATTACAATCTATTTGCTTGTGTTTCACTAAAATTAAGTACCATACAATCACATTTCCCAATTCCTGGCTCTCAACCTTTGGCTGATGGTTTGCTTCCACACCAAATTCAAGGGAACAATGTTGACTTACAAAGCCCTGAACAGTTTGGGGCCTTGCTATCTAGTGGACCTCCCTAAGATCAACTCCCCATGCTGCTCACACCTCTCAGGTTGTGATACTGCAGGTGGCCACCCAATGGAGGTCAGGAAGTCTATGGCTAGGAACTTCTCAGTGGTGGCCACCTCTTTGTGGAATGCTCTACCTGTGGAGGTGTGTCAGGCCCCTTCCTTCCTAAAACATTGGTTCTCAGGGATGCATTTCAGGACATTCTCCCTTTATAAATATTTGCTACTTAGTCTCATTTATGGTTATATTTTCCAGGTCATAAACTGAGTACCCAGTTTGGTTTTGTGGGGGTAATGTGTAACCTGCATAATTAAATTGTAAACCACCCAGAGAGTGCTTTAAGAGCTTTGGGATGGCATATAAGCAGCACACTTTGCTTTTTGCTTTTACCTGGACCGAACTGCACAATTTTGTGTAAAACATCACTCTTGCCAAAGCAAGAACTCTAGTGAAAGTAACAGGAAATTGTTCACAGTTCTCATCAAAAGTTCCTCATCCTCACATGTGAGAACAAGACAAGTGAGGATTTACTTTCCCAGCCCACACCTGTAAAGTGGTGTAGGCATTAAAAAGCAAGCACATTCTGTGCTAGAACTTATTAGGAAAGAAAATATTTTTTTTTCAAATAAAAAATCTTTATAAATCAGCCATGTTATTTCAACCATTTAATAAAATTCTGGTTGACTTATCTCAAAAAGGATATTTTAACAGTAGAAAGGTAGAGAAAAAGGCATTCACCAATTCCATGAATGGCACTGTACTGTACAGTTCTAGCTTAGTCTTCAGTTGAATTACAACTGTCTTAAGAAGGTCATTTTTGAGGTATACAAGGTTTTGATTCTCCTGTTCTGAAAGCATGCTTGCAACCATTCACATGTGCCAGTCCTACAAGGTGTGTTGATTTTAAAAGTATGATAACTTTGGAAAGCTGTTCTATGGGCACTGAACTAAAATGGACAGCAATGTTTCCACGGCATACTGTATGTAGACATCTCAACTAATTTTGTATTTTGTATTTGCCTATAAAACCACATCCTCAGCAACCAGCTAGCACTGCAAGAAATACCACTTCCTGATAGTAATGAATCTAACATCTGTGTAGTGGTACCTGTAAGTAAATTTTTTTTTTTTTGCTTGAACGTATTTTACAAAACTTCCGAGTACTTCAATTTTATTGGAAAAACAAATATCGTAATTATGAAAGCTTCATGGAAGTCCTGTATCTAAAGGTGGACTTCCGTCAACGAGACAGCAGAATCTATTGCAATTAGGATGGCAGCAATTTTCACAATGGGTCCTTCTATGTAGTCCAAAAATCTAACTGGAAAGAGTAAGAAACCACTCCGAGCTGTTTTTAGAGAGGCTTCAAAGGGCTGGGGAGGGGAAGGAAGTTGTAACCAGTTTCCAGCTTATACTTGCAATGTATAGTCAGGCACAATAACAGGTCAAGAATCCTATCAAGAAAGCAAGTAAGTTAAAATTGATGCAGTCTTTGTAAACCACAGCCTACGCAGTCTGATATGATGCAGACAAAGATCCTGATTTCTAACAGCCCACTTACTAAATCAGATCACTGCCTAACCTACAGGCTGGGAAGGGCTGGCAGACAAACAGCAAGCTCATGCTCACCACCATGGGCTGCCACCAGTAATTTAGGCATCCTGTGAGCATGCCGATCTAGAAACTGGGTTGTGCCTTGAGGTGAAAATATAAAACTTAAGGTGCAATTGCTAATTCTATGCTGGGATTCACTAGGCAAGAAAAATGAAAAAGAAACAGCCAAAACAACACATTTATATAACTCTGTGTTGCATCTGTTTGGATCATGGAATACTGTGTAGTTCTAGTCACTATATGTAACAAAACATGGCTTCAAAGAGAAACAGTTGAGATAAAGTATGTACGGATGCTGGTGTTTCATTTTGAAAGGACTGAATATCAATCAAGGGTTCTTAAAGTCACCAACAAATGTGAAATGACGCACTTATTCACACAGTTTGCCACTTGTATCAACTATGCTACTGTTACTCACAACCTGATAGCTTATTCCTTTACTGCTGAATCACTGCCACTTCTCACTGTTTGTAACCCCAGCAGAGCCATGTATAAATATTCCAACCATATACAGTAATTTAACTCTTATGTTTGAGAAATTGGACTTGATCCACAGAAGCTCACATTAAAATATAATAGTCTTCAAAGTGCCACATTTCTGTTTCTTCTTTTTTTCATTTTCAATTTTTTGTTGTTTTTTTGTCCCATAATCTTGTGGAATAGTTCCCCTCTTCATATTCATACCTGGTGTTAAAATATAATAGTCTTCAAAGTGCCACAACATTTTTGTTTCTTCTTTTTTTCATTTTCAATTTGTTGGTTTTTTTTGTCCCATAATCTTGTGAAATAGTTTCCCTCTTCATATTCATACCTGGTATGAATTTACCAGGTTCATTTGCTAGATGAATCTGGTAAATGAACTCTCAGGACTACATTCCATGACAAGATGCTCAATCACACTGTGAGTGACACTTAGCAACTTGATGGGCTTCAAAAGGACAACAAAACAGCAAGCAAAAGAAGACTGATGGTTAGCTAAGGCAAAGCTTCAAGTCTCTGTTAATTTACTATGATTATTCAACATGGAGTTCTTTATCTTACAGTTCATTCATTTTACCTGGCTGCAATGAGATCTAGGAGATGCTGCCATCTGTCATTGACTTTGCCAAGCTTATACTCAATCTCCAGAGCTTTGCTTTCATGGCTTGCTTTAGCAAGTCGTTCTCCCATTTGCTGGAGCTGTGTCTTATTCTCTTGGGCCACTGCAATTTCATCCTGATAATCCTGGATTTCAGAAGGATACACAGAGATCAGAAAGCTTATTCATAACAACCTCCTACTTGAGGCAATAATAAACAAAAACCGTGCAATGCTTTATTTAGGAGGACTTCATAAAGATTTACAGGTTTTCAAATTTAGGTAAGAACCAGATCTCAATTATCTTTTAAGTGTTTACTACATTTAGCATCCTTGCTCTGATAAACCTGACAGTATTTGTTCAAAGTTTCACAAGAGTAATCAGAAGCACTGTACCTTTTTAAGTTTCTCTATCATTTCTTCAATAAGGATCTCTCCATTCTGGGAAACCTTACTCTCCATTTGCGTCAACCATTCACAGAGTTCCTTGTTCTTCTCACTGAAGACTGCCCACTCATTTAGTCTCTCACTCACCTGCTGCCTCCTCAAAGAAACCTTAAAGCATGTACAGGAGAAAACAGGAAAGTAAGACCATGGCGCTAAAAAGAAGCCTTGCGCTTGAAGCATAAATTCAGCACTGCGGTAAGGTTGTTTCTGAAGTTAAGAGAGTAGTGCAGCTATAACCTTTCATGACACCTTCTAACAGCTTAATTAGCACTGTTAACCTCAGAGTCAGGACACATCTAGGCCAATCCCACTTAAGGCAGGAAGTCTTATACAAATACTGAAGGTAACAAACCTGAGCTGCCATTTGAAATTGCTGCAATTTTCAGTACTCTGTACAAGGTACATTATAGGTTCATTCCAGTGCACAGATCTTAAAATATTGTATTTACAAATGTTTTGGTCTTCATGCTGAAATAAAGTCTTAGGACCTTGCTTTCAGTCACTGAAAATCTAACTTGCAATGCTTTCTTGAGCCTGTTGCTATTGCTACTATTAACTTCTTCCATCTTTATTTAACTGGGATTTAAAAAATATCAGGCACACAAGTGCAATAGGCAACTGAATTCATAAATTTGGCTATCATATTTTGGTGTCAGTGGCCGCTATGCAATTATACAGAACCAGTTTGCATTCTGCCCTATGGATGACTCAGATATTACAGACACTTGGTAAATGTATTTGTCCTTGTCTGTCCAAACTATGCAAAGACCTGAAGGATTACGTCAAGAAAGCAGAAGGACGTAAGGAAAGGCTTGGATAGACAGTACAGGAGGGACATAAAAAGGAAATACTATTTGACAAAAAAATTAATTTTGAACATGGAATTATAATAAGTAAGTTCTGGTCTTAATTTTTTTTTTCCTAAAAGAGGATTAGGCAGACACGATGAAGCTTACAGAAAACATGCACTCATATGATCTGCTATTTTTGAAGACAATTGCATGACGACAGTCCAATGGCATTCTACTTACTGCAGCTGTCTCTTCTTTTATCTAAGTGCAGCTTCTTCTCAGTTTATATAAGCATCTCTACTCAGGAAGTGAACACTTGTAAAAATGACTACAGCCCTTTACTTACATGCTTCAGATTTTTAAAACTAAGATACAAATAGTATCACACTTCCTTTTGTGGTTCTTCTCCCCACCGTATCTAGCTTAGAGATATGAACTGTTTTGTTGCTGTTGTAGTTGCTGCACTGCAATGTTCAGAGACTTACAGACAGCATGTCTGGTAGCTACACTGGCTGTGGGATTCTAAGAGTTGTAGCTGAAAATCCATTTCTCATCCAGCTATGTTGTTCTATAATTCTCATGTGGCGTGTAGTCCCAAAGACAGAAGATGAGTGAACCAAAGAGCAAGGCAATTCTTATGCTTTTCATTGAATGAATAGTCATTGGCTACCTTCCGTGGCTAGTTTAAGTATCTCTTAATTTCTTCCTGATTAACTTACTGCTTGATGTATGAATGGTTTTATAATTATGCTGTTATTTCCTCAAAGTGCCAGTATAAACTTGTAATTCGTGTTGTACACTGCTGTGCATACATGGCTATGTATAGCAGCAATCAAAGCAGTATCATGTGTCTGGAATAAGATAGTTTCAGACTACTTCGAATCAAGCAAGCTGATTATTTATTAAACATTATCCAATTTTCTGCAGAGAACTCAAGAGGGCATATCACAGCTACAGAATAAGCTTCAAAGCTGAGCACTCATTGCTCAGGTTTCACACATTTACACCCACTGTTCCAGACTTTATATATAATAGTTCTCCAGTATAGCCTACTCATTTCACATGCTAGCAAGGTTATGCTCAAAATGCTACAAGGTAGGCTTCAGCAGTATGTGGACTGAGAACTCCCAGAAGTACAAGCTGGATTTTGAAGGGGCAGAGGAACTAGAGACCAAATTGCTAACATATTCTGGATTATGGAGAAAGCCAGAGAGTTCCAGAAAAACATCTACTTCATTGACTATGCAAAAGCCTTTGACTGTGCGGACCACAGCAAACTATGGCAAGTTCGTAAAGAAATGGGAGTGACTGACCACCTTATGTATCTCCTGAGAAATCTATATGTGGGACAGGAAGCAACATTTAGAATTAGATATGGAACAACTGATTGGTTCAAAATTGGGAAAGGAGTATGACAAGGCTATATATTGTCTCCCTGCTTATTTAACTTATAAGCAGAATGCATCATGCGAAAGGCAGGACTGGATGAATCCCAAGCCGGAATTAAGATTGCTGAAAGAAATATCAACTACCTCAGATATGCGGATGGCAGAAAGTGAGGAGGAATTAAAGAACCTTGTAATGAGAGTGAAAGAGGAGAGTGTCAAAAATGGTCTGAAGCTCAACATCAAAAAAACTATGATCACGGCCACTAGTTCAATCACCTCCTGGCAAATAGAAGGGGAAGAGATGGAGGCAGTGACAGATTTTACTTTCTCGGGCTCCATGATCACTGCATATGGTGACAGCAGCCACAAAATTAAAAGACGCCTGCTTCTTGGGAGGAAAGTGATGACAAACCTAGACAGTATCTTAAAAACAGAGACATCACCTTGCCGACAAAGGTCTGCATAGTCAAAGCTATGGTTTTTCCAGTAGCGATGTATGGAAGTGAGAGCTAGACCATAAAGAAGGCTGACCGCCGAAGAACTGTGGTGCTGGAGGAGACTCTTGAGAATCCCCTGGACTGCAAAGAATACAAACCTATCAATTTTGAAGGAAATCAACCACGAGTGCTCACTGGAAGGACAGATCCTGAAGCTGAGGCTCCAATACTTTGGCTATCCCATGAGAAGAGAAGACTTCCTGGAAAAGACCCTGATGTTGGGAAAGTGTGAAGGCAGGAAAGATATGGGGATGAAAGAGGATGAGGTGATTGGACAGTTTCATCGAAGCGCCAACATGAATTTGACTCAACTCCGAGAGGCAGTGGAAGAGAGGAGGGCCTGGCGTGCTCTGGTCCATGGGGTCACGAAGAGTCGGACACAACTTATTGACTAAACAACAACTTGGCCTACAAATCTGTGTAAATGAAAGTGGGCTTCTTGTGAGCTTTATATTCCTTCCCATAGTTTAGCATCCCAGCATCCCCATGCCTCCAAATGTTTCTTTTTGTCTCTTTTTAACCATAGGTCGGAGAACAGGAGTAAATTACCCCAAATTGGGTAAAAGTGAAAATCCTGGGGGTAATGAGCAGAGTGCTACCCACCTCCCTCCCTCCCATCCCCCTCTGTGCCCAAACCTCAAACTGTAAGCCACCTCTCTCTGTTACTTCCTTCGTTGCAGCAGAGCACTCGTAAATCATCCGTTCTTTTAGAGATCGGAGATAAGCCTCCTTGTGGATTAGCCCTGGGCAATCAATCAATCCAGGGCTTCTGAATGACAGCTTCCTCCAGAAATGACTGCAAACAAGCAGGAGGAGGGAGAGGATTAAGGAGCAAGCAAAGGAAAGGAGGGAAGAAAGGTGCGAGAGACCAAGGACTACATCAAGCTTATTTAAATGTATAAAATGGAGGGAGGAAATGGAGGGAGGGAGGAAATGGAGGGAGGCTGGGTGGGTGGATGGATATGTGGTGTGTGTGTGTGTGTGTGTGTGTGTGTGTGTGTGTGTGAGAGAGAGAGA